CGATCCGAGGTAGCGAGTACTTGTTCTTCATTATCACTTTATTCAACTCTCTATAATCAATGCGCATCCGTAGTGACCCCTCTTTCTTCTTTACAAACAGAATTGGAGCTCCCCAGGGAGAATGACTCGGTCGGATAAAACCTTTATCTAAGAGCTCTTGGAGTTGCTTTTTCAATTCCTGAAGCTCTGCTAGGGCCATTCGGTAAAGGGCTTTAGATATCGGTGCTGTTACTGGTGCTAGTTTGATACTGAACTCAACCTCTCTTTCCGGTGGCAAACCTGGTAAATCTTCCGGAAACACATCTAAGAACTCTCGAACTATCGGCACCCTCTGAATCTCTGGCTGTGGAACATCACCACACTGCACTACATGTGCAATATATACAAAACACCCATTTCTTAACATCTTTCTAGCCTTCACACTACTAATCAACATACTCAACTGATAGCCCTCTCCAACACTAAATTTATCTCCACTATTGAGATTAAATCTCGCTTTCTTCTTCCGACAATCGATCTCTACTCCATACCTCTCTAGGAAGTCCATGCCCAAAATCACATCAAAGTCAGACATATCAAAGACTATTAAATCAACTACTAACTCTCGACCATGGATCACTACAGTCTCTCCTAACAACATCTCCTAAGTCAACACACTCACCCCATCAGGCAACTCAATCTGAAGAGGTTGACTCACTCTAATAGGTCTCAAACCTAATCTCTCTATCACCCCATGCGATATAAAAGAATGGGTAGCCCCAAAATCAATTAAAGCATATAAAGAAGCAGCATGGAATAACAACTGACCAGTTACGGCTAATGGACTGGCCTCAGCTTCACCCTGTGCCACTGTGAACACTCTGACATTGGTACCTCTCAAACTCTAAGTTGCAGGTGGAAGAGGAGCTTTACAATCCCTCCTCAGATGCCCTGGATGTCGGCACCTGTAACACACATTTCTATCTCTCAAACACTCTCCTGAATGGTTCCTCCCGCATTTAGCACAAAGGGGAAACCCTTCTGTCTTGGGCCGTTTGCTCTGCCAGTCTCTCCTGTCCCTCTTGGGTTGAAACTTCTTCTTGGCCCTTACTTCTCTGTTCCTTGTAACCTCTCATCTCTCTCTCTGTGAGGTAGTAGATAGCTCACTGGGTACCTGTGAAGATAACCCTTCTGCAATATGTTTGTTCACATAAATCTCTGCCCGTAAAGCCCTTGTCAAAGCCTCACTGTAGGTATGAGGAGGCTCGACTCCTGTCATAACATCTCGGGCAATATCTGATCTCAACCCTTGCACAAACTTGTCTCGCCTTAACACTGGAGTGTACACTATCCCAGGTGCAAAGCGAGCAAGGGAGTTAAATCTTACTGATTGTTGCTTTTAGTGCATCTAGGTTGATGATATTATTTCCAATAGATATTTTCTATACTACATTAAGTCATTAACTATACAGAATATGTACATGCATTAAGTTCAATTTTTTAGAAATAGAAAATAAAGAATTTCTCGATAAATTAATAATTTATTAATTTATACGATTAAATAATATATTGATTAATTAATAAATTTTCATAGTCCCAAATATATTAATTTATCGAGGTTTAACTATAAAACTGTGAAAACGACTTTCAATCCTTTTATAATTTTACGCTAGTTTTTTGAAATGTTTTTGTAAAGACTCATTTCTACCAAATGCATTGTCATAAGATATTGCATATCTTGTTTTCAATAACAAATAATTATATTTAAATTTTATATTAAACAGGCCAAAACGCTAAATGATGTTCAAGTATAAAAACTATATTGATATTCAAATATTAAAATCAAATTATTTATGAAATAAATAACATAATTTTGTTTTGTTCTCAAAATTTTAGGGGTCGGTGGGAGTCGGGACTGGGTACTCACCCAATTTCAAAGGAACTAGAATCAAAACCAGAACTGGAACCTGTCAGTTCTTAGCTTTTGGAACCAGAACCAGAACCGATCAGTTCTTAGCTTTTGGAACCAGAATCGGAACCGACAGTTTCGAAACCTTAATTCCTAGAACCAGAGCCTGTGTTACAGGTTCTGGTTCCGGGTACCCCACAAATATTACGTAACCCCCCTTCTATTTAAAAAAAAATGACAAACATACCTGTAAAAACTACAATAAATCCCTAGAATTAAAATTACATATAATTGTTTTCTCTCTCATCCCTCGTTATTTCCTCTTATTCTCCTCATCAGCTTTTCTCTCACTTGGACTCTACCACATGATCTGCACCACTCGCAAGTTTGATTTTGGTACCTTGGTAGGATGCAATCTGAAGCTCCAAATTAATGGAAAGTTCTCAAGCGGGTGTTGAGAAAATGAGAACAATACTACTTTTATAGAAAGACCTCAAAAGTAGATAGAAGGAGCTAGCCATTAACTAAAGGAAAAGTGTCCTCCAAATAGATGATACTTATAATCGTCGGGCTCACTAGCAATAAAAAGCGAAACACATACCCCAGTACTCAATAGTAACTGTAGCCATTTACTGAGCAACAGCAAGAAATACAACATGTGATTAATAAGTGGAGGTGAAGCTATCAACCCAATCTCTTTTTAAGTAACTATTAATTAGCATTCATATTTATTTTTTGAATGAATTGCTTTAGCTCTTTACCATCTTTGTCCAAACATGTACCATCCCTTACCTTTACCTTACCACCACCGTCTCAAACACCTCAACGCTTCCTCCTCATTCTCTGTCTCCTCAAACACCTAGATCGGCGGGCTCCCTCTCTCTTCACTTCCTTTTCCCCAAAATTAAAATTACATTTAATACTTTTTTTTCTCAGGTTGTATGGTTGATTTTGTTGGTTTGGATGTATTTGGGTGCATATGTTTGCAAGCTGATTTTTCCTGGTTTGAATGTATTTGGGTGTATTTGTCTGCAGGTTGTATGCTTGAATTGATTTTTTTCTTTTTGATTTGGTTTGTGATTAAGAGATCTGGATTTTTGGTACTGTGAGTGTGATTTTGCGATGTTTGATTTCATTTTCAGTCAATCTTTCATGCTTGGTCCCGGTAGTGCTTTCTTTTCCGTCTCTTCTTTTTCTCTTTGTTTTGGTTCTGGTTCCAGTTCTCGGTTCCTACGGGAATGGAACCGGAATCGCATAGTATTGGTTCCAGGTTTTTGGAGCCGAAAACTCGGGTATCCGTCAGTTTCGATTCTACCCTATTTTTTTGCCGACCCCTACAAAATTGTATACATAGGAAAATACATAATGATTCAACCAAAATTTTAAAATTTTCTAGTGAAAACTTGATCCCAAAGTTTGAAAATGTTGATGCAAGAAATCGCAACCACGGGAGAACTAATTATATTTGGATTCTATAAATTAATGGAAGGAAAAAAATGAGAACAAAATTACAATAAAATCTTAAGAGACTTGTTTGATATACAATTTAAATATAGTTTTTTCTTTATAAAAACAAGCTATACAAAAAATCTTGTAAAAGAGTGTTCGGTAGAACTAAGTCAAAATGTTTTCGCAATCAGTTTTCAGAATCCTAAAATTTAGTGTAAAATTAAAAAAATTATTAAAAATTGTTTTTTTCTCTTGCAGTTTTTAATATGAAAACAACATTTGAATATATATCAAAATATATTTTCAAATATTAAGATAAAACTCAAAAATTTGAATCTTATTTTAGTTCTTGAAAATTATTTTCAGATCACAATCGAACGGACTATAGCTAAAGTTTTTGAAAGATTGGAAGGATTCGAAACTTTAATTAATCTTTCTTTTAATAAACAATAGAAGGAAATAGAACTTACTTCCTTTAAAATCCAAACCAAATTAATTTGGACTGAACCTGTTTGGGCCTTTTATCTTATTTAGCCTAGCTTTTGACCTTTTTCTTAGTTGTTCTTGCACTTCTTTATATATGCAGCCCAGACCCATTCTCTTTGTGACTTGGGGGCATAATTACGACAAAATAGCACAAAAAAATAATAACCGAAAAAGCTAATCTTAAAATACACCAAAAATGCTTAAACGCAATTAATACATAAAAAGGAAACAATAAATCACAAATTATGCAAAATAATAATAATAATTAGACTCCTTTCCTAATATAATTACTAATGAATTAACGAATTTTATTATGGTCTTCATCTTTGCTTGGTATCTTCATTGAAAGGCTTTTGTGTTTGGAAGATACAAAATGTCTTTGAACTCTTCTTTTGAAGGAACTTGCTGTCTAGAGTTCTATCTTTCTATGTCACCTTCTTCTTCATGGGGTCGAGTCCAAGAGGTAGAGTTTTGAGATTGCGTAGTATTAATGCATGGATGATTTTCAAGGCTCATCACCGAAATGGAATGTGAAGATAGGTGCTTATACCATTAAGTCTTTTGTGTTAAAATAAAGTTAGAGAGACAATTAGATAAATATTCATCAATTCATCAGGTTAAGTTTTAATGATTTATTAATGGTTCACTAACAACTAAGGTATCTGTGTTATTTCTAAATATTAGACAGAATTTTGTTATTTTATCATACCACATTGAGATTGAATAACCTTTTTAAAGTAGATAAAATATGAATAAATAAGTAAGAAAAAAAAAAAAAAAAGAATAAATAAGTAAGAAAAAAAAAAAAAAAAGGTTCAGCCAGTGCATTTTACTAATTGTCATCATTAAAAATTGCATTTAACTAGCCTTTTTCTTCATTTTATTTGATTAATATGTCCTTTGCATTGAATATGAAATTATTTGATGACATGGTTTCAAATTCATTTAAACACTCTGGCAATTTGTCTTGAAATTATTTGAGAAATTCAAAATTAATACCACACAAAGAAAAAAAAATTCTGAAGCTTGAAACTTTATAGGAACAACTTCATTAATACAATATAGTTTATCACAAACATGCATATGCTTCAATTCAAAATTATCTAACAAAGTAACAAATTGTGCTGGAATGAAGAAGAGCGTTTTACAAATTCTGAATTGTGATACAATTGACCATCTAGAGTTGAATATGAAACAGCTTTGCATTCTTAAGAAGCTCTAAAATATCTGCAATTGAACCAATTGCAGCAACGAGAGTTACAATCAAGCATGACAACCCCAGAATTTGAAACATCATCCATTTAGAGCTTCCTCTTTTGATCTTTGCTTGCACAATGTACATGCTCATCGGCAAATACACTGTTAGTGGCCAGAAAGAAACTGCTCCTAGAAGCCCAAGAATCGCGTTGAAGAACGGGAACATCATTGCTACTGCGGTTGTGAAAATGACAAAGACTGTTCGCAACAGAAGTTTGCTCAAGGTGAAGCGGATTGTGTACTTTTTTATGAATGGGAGTTTAACTGTGTAAACAGTATTGAAAAATGAAGTTGGCCATCTTGTTACAATGCACTTCTCATGGATGGCAAAAATTGGTTGAGAATATACCTGAACAATTCACAAACAAAAAAAATCAATACTACGTCTAGTCATCTATACCTATAGTACACTTATCGACACCAGCCGATGGCGTCAAGGCATCATTTCCCCGACTAGGATGCCTTGACGACTTTTTAGTGCATTGCTTTACTTTGGAGAAGGGATACGTTGGTGCAAGAATCAGTTATATCTATGCCAATCTTGGCGATTAGTCTTGCATCACCGTATCCATATTGTATGAACTTAAATTTTGGACTTGTTTCATTGAAAAACAATAATAGTGGATACTCTTGATGGAAAAAAAAAGGTCTCATCATACGTCAAATATACAATAACAGACATTTTATTTTTTTAAATAGATAATCCTTTAAACATATATATGTCGATGCATGGTAGACTTGTCCCTTTATTAATAACTTTTAAATGATTAAGAGGGATACCTGATAAGCTCCAATTAAATGTATAATTACAGCAAGGTTGGCAATGTCAACGAGCCAGAATATATTATAAAATCCGGCGAGAACATTTCCGGGAACATCATTTCCATAGGCCACATAACCCATGCATCCAAGAGAAATGTAAAAATAAGTAAAACAGTGTTGTTGCACCAATTGCATACAAAGTCACTTTCTTCATCACTTTATTTTCCGGTGGGGGAGACTTCAGTGTATCCTTAATTAAGTTTAAGGAATTAAAATGTAAGTAATAACTACTGTTAAAAAGCATAAAAGAAAAATAATTTGGGGTTTATATTGAAAAATTAACCTGGATTTCAAGTAGAATATTGGAGTAGCCGAAGGCAAAAGCAATGTTTCCGAGGGCTTGAAAGGCATGCCAAATCTTGGTCGATGATGGTAACCCTGTTTCGGAATTAGCTACCTTGAGAGTTCCTTTGAACTCAAGATGTGAGAAAAATTTTGCGATTGATAGGAAAAGTGCAATAGCAAAATATAGAAGTGATGTAACAGTAGCGACGACTGAAAGGAATGTTATTTTCTCTAAGTTTGGACATTGAGATAGAATAATTTCAGTTGCTCCAAAGGTTAGCATGTATAGATTTCCTGATACTCCACATGTTGCATTTTGTCCCTTCTCATGGAAACAAGTTGATCTCTTCAAAGTCCTGTTACATTGAAAAAGTGACAGACATATGATGAGGAACGGACCACTACGGACTGAAAGGGGGCTTATGCCCCCAACAGCCCTTGGGAAATTCAATTAATTCCCTCCAATTTTGTATTTTTAATTTGCCCCCACTGAAAGAAATTGTTGGCTTCGTCACTACATATGATATATAATACGTGTTGAATGAACTTACGCGACACTAATGGTAGTTGTAATCGTGTAGCCAATCATCGTTCCCCATAATATTGTATATTGCAATATACTACAAAGCAGTACTTCAGTCGGACCTGCAACAAAGGATTGAGAAAATTAAACTTCATTCTTTTGTCATATGTAATTAACTTGTAGTTAATGTTTCAATAGGGATCGAAATGAAAAATAATTATACCTAAGAGTGTTCTCACAGCATCTCCGTAAGTATGGTTTCTTCTTCCAGTGACAGGGTCAGGAGTTCGATAGCAATCAGAGAAAATGATGGATGTGTAATAAGTAACGATTGCAAATGTAACGAGAACAAGGGGTCCCAAAATCCAACCAAGTTGAGCCACGCTCCATGGCAATGCCAAAATACCTGAACCAACTATTGCAGTAAAAGCATGGGCTGTACCCGTCCACAAAGTTCCTATTATCAAAACAAAACAACATCTTTACACATTGGACTAGGCCTAACTTATAGGAGCCCCTGTACAGAAGGCTACGTTGTAAAAAACATGAGAATGTAGCCCATGTACAATGGTTGATCTCTTCTTTTCCACATATTATTTATTAAATTAATGTGACCCTCTGCAGTCTGCATAGCACTTCATTTATCATTTATTAAATTTGAATAATTCCATATATAAGCGATCTTCACATAAGACGTTGAGATTCACTTACAAAATAGGCCCAATTTTTCTTCAGTTTTCTTAAACAAAATAAAAAAGAATAATTCTTTGAGAGTTTTGGACATCCAATTCTTGAGCTTAACAAATAATCCTATAAAGAATGTTTTCACATTTTTTTACGAAAGAATATGTATATAGAATTGGANGACTGAAAGGAATGTTATTTTCTCTAAGTTTGGACATTGAGATAGAATAATTTCAGTTGCTCCAAAGGTTAGCATGTATAGATTTCCTGATACTCCACATGTTGCATTTTGTCCCTTCTCATGGAAACAAGTTGATCTCTTCAAAGTCCTGTTACATTGAAAAAGTGACAGACATATGATGAGGAACGGACCACTACGGACTGAAAGGGGGCTTATGCCCCCAACAGCCCTTGGGAAATTCAATTAATTCCCTCCAATTTTGTATTTTTAATTTGCCCCCACTGAAAGAAATTGTAGGCTTCGTCACTACATATGATATGATATATACTTACGCGACACTAATGGTAGTTGTAATCGTGTAGCCAATCATCGTTCCCCATAATATTGTATATTGCAATATACTACAAAGCAGTACTTCAGTCGGACCTGCAACAAAGGATTGAGAAAATTAAACTTCATTCTTTTGTCATATGTAATTAACTTGTAGTTAATGTTTCAATAGGGATCGAAATGAAAAATAATTATACCTAAGAGTGTTCTCACAGCATCTCCGTAAGTATGGTTTCTTCTTCCAGTGACAGGGTCAGGAGTTCGATAGCAATCAGAGAAAATGATAGATGTGTAATAAGTAACGATTGCAAATGTAGCGAGAACAAGGGGTCCCAAAATCCAACCAAGTTGAGCCACGCTCCATGGCAAAGCCAAAATACCTGAACCAACTATTGCAGTAAAAGCATGGGCTGTACCCGTCCACAAAGTTCCTATTATCAAAACAAAACAACATCTTTACACATTGGACTAGGCCTAACTTAATGTAGCCCATGTACAATGGTTCATCTCTTCTTTTCCATATATTATTTATTAAATTAATGTGACCGTCTGCAATCTGGATAGCACTTCATTTAAATCATTTATTAAATTTGAATAATTCCATATATAAGCAATCTTCACGTAAGACGTTGAGATTCACTTACAAAATAGGCCCAATTTTTCTTCAGTTTTCTTAAACAAAATAAAAAAGAATAATTCTTTGAGAGTTTTGGACATCCAATTCTTGAGCTTAACAAATAATCCTATAAAGAATGTTTTCACATTTTTTTACGAAAGAATATGTATATAGAATTCGATATCAATTTTGAATGGTTAAAATCCTAATTTTCGTGGATGGATCAATGTGTACATGAGTGGGGCCTGATGACCCCACTCAAAATTTTATTTTTATTATTTTTTAATTTTTTCAATTTTAATATAATTTACTTTATAAATTGACCCACACATATAAAAGTAAAACCATTTTTTTTTCTATTGTTTATTATACAAATAAAATTTTGTTTGTTTACGAAGATAAGTGTTTTATTAATCGAATATTTTTCTTTTTTTATATTGGCTTTAAGTCTTTAACAATTAGAAGTCAATTGAAGAGTAAAACTTAAACTAAATAAAATATTATTGCCCCTCTAAAGTCATTTTTATCACAAATTTTATATTATTTATTTTAAACTTGCCCGTCTAACGTTAAATTTTGTATCCATCCCTGCTAATTTTATAAGTCATATTACTCTAAAATATTATTGCATTAATTCATGAGGCTCAAAAATGAAAAAAGTCAATGGTTTTGAACTTAAAACACATAAAACAAACAAAAAAACATATCCCATTAAAATACAAAACTAAGCACATTTATTTTTCTTTTTCCTTTCTTTATATATATCAACAAACAGCATACCAAAAGCAGTGTACATCCATGCATGTGAAAACTATTAATGCTAGTGATTAAAAGATGGATATTCGAAGCTTACCAGTTCGAATGCGTCCTTCTTCTGTTGCCTCCATTTCACTTCCTAGCTTGAAGAGAGAGAGAGAGAGATTCAGAAGCGAAAAACTGTGGTGATTTTTAAGTTAAGAGTGAAAATATCATATGGAGGTTTAAAAGTTAAAACAACTTTCAAAGAGAGAGAGAGAGAGAGTGAGGGGACTGCCACATGAGATACATGCAATGCAATGCACGTGTTTTGAGACTGCAAAAACAGCAAACTCACCAATCTTCGCATTCGAGTGCAGCAGGCTTTTTCCAATTTATAAGAAGTTGTGAAGCATTACAGTTCAACCCATACTGTAATTGGAACATATAATACCAAATCAAAAATTACCGTTTCACTCATCTATTACAAATGACAACATCACCAAGTAAGGGCAAAGGAGTATCCATAATATAATTTTGAAACTCTGAGAGTCTATTAATGAAAAATGTGAAAGTTCTTATCTGAATGATAAATTTTGAAACCTTAAAGTAGTATGTGATAATCTCCTAAAATATATTATATGGTAACTACTCGGATATCTTTAACATAATTTAAGAGAGCAAAAGAACCTGCCTTAATTTTATTATTATTAATTGGAAGAATTTATGATCACATTACCTAACCTTAGATTTTATGATAACTAATAATATTTTAAAAATGAACATACAAGCGTCTTCCAGCACGCTTGCATTTTAACGACAAAATTCAAGAATCATGAATAAAACTGAAAGGGTTCAAATTCGTTAAATAATGGGCTTAAAAAAAAATTAAACTTAAGTTTAATTTAATTTGTAAAATTTGTTACTGATATGCATGACTCAATCGTTTTTCAAAGATTAGTGCACCTACGTATTTCAAATATATGTTTTCTAAATTATAGATTTTAAAGTAGAGGTTAATGCATAAATTTTCTAATTTCCGTTTTATGAGCATATTTATCTCTAATTTATCAACTTGGGATCTTTCTTTAAGAGCACATTTATGAACAGTTTTCTTTATATTTGGTAAACTATTTTTAAGAAAGGTGTTTTCACTTGCACTTGAGGCGAAGCTGGTTGCATCTTGTGATAATTGAGGTGGTGTAGCTAAATTCTTCAACTTGAACAGTGGTGAATGTAAAAGGTTTGATTTACCTCTTGAAGTCAATTAGGGTATGTTTTGTTTGTAGGCATTGTACTTAAAGGTTTATTTTTTTGATAACTAGGGTGTTCGAGTGCACATCTCAACTAATCAGCGGAGCCTATTAAATACTCTACAAGTCTGATAGTCTAAGTAAACTACAAATATGGTATGTGGTCTCAAGGTGATTTGAATTCAAGAAGTCAATTAAGGGAGTAAATTTTCTTGACCACCAAGCTAACCTCTCGAGGTTTTAAAAGTTTATTTTATTTTTCTCTTTATGAGATCGCTTAGAATGGATTCATCTTTTTCATTCATAAAGTATTAAATATCACTTATTAGGGTTTTTTGATAATTTTTGTAAATGAGGTGTTTGATATTTTTAAAAGTTTTTTTTTTTTTTTTTTTAAATAATGATATGAGTGTTTTTTATACTTTTTGAACAAATTAGATGAGTTTAATAGTAAACGATCTCAGGGAAAAATAAAACAAACCCTTGCACTTAATAAAAATGTAGGATTGGATTATTATGATACGATCCCATGTCGGGCCTACATTATGTTTGGAATGGACAGTACAATAAGAAGGTACTATAGCGCACTAATAGGCGTGAAGTAAAGCTGCACATGGAGAAAATAGTTTTAGCTACCCAAGAACTGCTGCAAACCAAATGCATTTATTTATTTAACTAAATATTTAATAAAAAATAAAGTATTTAAAAATTTAACCAAAAATTTAATTATTAATTGAACATATCAAAACTATTTTTTTCAGTTCATATACAAAAAATTAAGCATCAAATTAATGTTTTACTAAATAACTAACCATTTAATTAAATAAAAATAAATTTTAATTATATGATTTAATGTAATATTTACATATACCTATGACATAAATTTTTTTATTAAGATTAAAGTGAAGTCATATAACTTACTTTTATAAATAAGTAATTAATTGATAATATAAAATAATGACAAATATATTAATAAAAAATTTAGTAAAGAAATTTGGTATTTTTAATCTAAATAATTTTGGTTAGTAGGAAGCTACACCAAACATAATATAGACTATATAAAATAATTTAAAGACGTCCTTGTCAGAATATGAGGTTCGACTTCATCAACGATGGGTTGGTCCAAGATGTAACTTCCTTAAATAGCAAACAATTTCCTGTTAACTTTCTCGGTCCCAAGAACTTTAGGTTTCATCGCTTTACCGTCATTGCTCCTGTAGATAGCCTCAACACCGATGGAATCCATATCAAAAGATTTACTAGAATTGACATTACGTATGGATTCCAAAATCAAAACAGGTGATGATTGTATCTCCATCGATGGTGGCAACAAAAATACATCAATTACTAAGGTTAATTGCGGATGTAGTCACGACATCAGTGTTGGAAGTCTAGGAAAGTACGATAGAGAGGAACCCGTAGATGGAATCAATGTCAGGGGTTGTACCCTCAGCAATACTGATAATGGTGTGAGAATAAGAACTTGGCTAACTTCCTATGCAGGCATCGCTTCTAACATGCGTTTTGAGTACATTACCATAGTTAATGCCATTAATCCTATCATCATTAATTGATCAAGTCTACTGCCCGCATAACGATTGCAATGCAAAAGTATAATTTCTTTATTATTTTTGTTTTGTCTTCACCAACTCTCATGATATTGGTCACATCGTATCCTCATTCTTTTCTTTTATTTCTTTAGCTTTCGTCACGCGTAAAGATTAGCAACGTTAGCTTCTCGAATTAATATTTGAGGCACTTCTGCAACTCCGATTGTTGTAAAGCTTGCTTGTAGTAGCGATATACCATGCAAAGGTATGGAGCTTGCTATAGATGTAAAAATCTATCTGTACGGAAGAATGGACTGATCCGGTGAGGTTGAGGCCACTAGCGATTTGTTATATCTGTACACGTAAAGAAACACACGTGAAACGACGGAAAACATCAGGGTGGTGTTTGCCATAGACATTCCGACGCTTAAGTCAGCAAGGCTGAAAGGCTGATTTAGTGAGGGCTAGGGAGTAGAGAGGTTACTAGAAGTTTAATCGAGGACTGTGACTACGACTGTGATGTGAAGTTCTCAAGCTAGAACTCCGGGGTCTGTAGGTGTAGTGTCCTCCTTTGTGAGAGGGATGATCTCTATTTAAATAGTGACTGTCTGGTCTCCCACTCCTGGTGGGATTGGGAATTCTCGTAGCAATCCGCTTCCTCTAGGGATATATCCTTTTATCCGCTTATCCTTGCATGAAAGGGAGTCCAAGTATGACTCTAACACAAACTTTGGAGGAGTTGGGGTTGTAGTGGGCTACTTTACCGATGTTCGAATAGGAATGTGATCTGTAGGTGACCATGGGCTCTGAATTCGTTCATAGATCCAGGAAGTGAACTAGGACTAGGAGGCTTGTGTCTGGACGGTTTGGGCCGACTGTACCTCGTATCAAATGGGCCTAATCCGGTGAGTTTTGGATTGGGCCGCATCAGGATTGGGCTTGCTCTTTTCCTCATTGTCAGTCCCGTTTCCCTATTTGGGCCAAGGATGATTTTTGGCCCTAACAGTTTGCCCCCCACTCTCTAAGTTAAGGAGTGCTTAACTTAAAAAGTAGGCGTCGCTTGAGGGGCATTAGGTCGGCCTTCGTGGTCGATCGATTAGCCGCGTGGCTGAGGCCGTAGTTGGCTCGGTTCTTCGGTATGATTATTCGATCGGACGGGGGAAACTCGTGGTCGTGCTCAGTGCCCTTATCCAAGTCGGGGGGCCTGATCAGTCCAGCAGGATTCAGTCGACTGGTGTTCGGGGCCGAATGGGCGAACAGTCTAGCGCACACGCAATGGCTCGGGGTGTCTAACCAGATACAAAAATGGAGATTGATCTGCTGAAGGTCTGTTCGCTCGGTCTGGTCAAATGGGTGATTGAATGAGTATCATGAAGGTGCGTTCAGCCCGTGCCGCTAGCCGAGTGGGTTACATTAGTCCTTACTTGGTTATGGCGCTTTGGGATTGGTCGAGTCTGAGCGAACCATTCAGCGTAGTCACTCATTCGGTAGAGGTGACCGAATAGTAAAGCTTATGCTTAGCCGACGTGTTTGGTGTGATCCTGGGTAACCAGAGCTAGGTGGCTAGGTACGATGATGTCGATCCCAGTCGGTAGGGCAACCCGAACTAATGGTTGCACCTCGGGGATTGAGTATAGCTGGCATGAATTTGACACGTGTACGACTGGGATGCCCTCTAAACTTGGGAGGGAAAATTAAAACACTCGCGACTTTCGATGCCCACTCATGTGGTGACACGTGTCACTTGACAGCTTTTGCTAATAAAATGTCTGGCTCGTGAATGTTCATTTCATCTGGCCGTTTTTCTTCCTTTCGCGTTTTTCGTTTTCTCTGAAACTTGGGTTTTCGTCACTGCTTCGAAGGAGATTCCGAGATTGGGCCATTTTCACGGTAAAAATTTTTTTCTCCTTTACTTCTTCTGTTTTCTTTGTGTTTGTGCGTTGTTTTCTGAAGAGGTTGAGTTGTGTTTTTTGGAAGATTTGGTTTGTTTTGCTTTTTCTGCTTCGTTTGTGTTGAGTTTCTGGCAGATTTGGTGTGATTTCATGATGTTTGAGAGATTTCGTGTACTGGAGTTTCGATTTTTTAGAAAATGTGTGGATTCTGGGATTTCCAGTGGATTTCCAGCAAGTTGCTCAATTTTTGGTGTTTTTTGGACGGGATAGAGAATACATCAGATTACGTAGCATATTGGCTTGGTCGGTCTGCCTGACTGAATCGAGTGGCAGTTTGGAACAGGGTTGTAGGAGGTTTTAAGTGGCCTAGGTTGGTCGTCCAGTCCATCTGACCGAGTAGCGAGGGGTTGTCCTATCTGAAGGGGTCGATCGGTGTTTCGGGGTGAATTGGGACAAG